GGGCAGGATTTGGGGCAGGAATTTGGGGGGATTTGGGGTGGATTTGGGGCAGGAATTTGGGGTGGATTTGGGGCAGGATTGGGAGAATTTTGGGATATTTGGGGTGGGATTTGTGGGGGAATCAATAGGAATTCTCTGCAGTGCCTGACGGGATCCCTGCTGGGATTTGGGGGCTCATTCCCAGGATTTGGGGTCTCGTTCCCTGCTCATTTTTGGGGTTTGGGGTTTTGTTCCCTGCTCATTTTTGGGGTTTGGGGTCTCATTCCACTCCCAGCCCTTTTCCCCAATTTGGGGTCCCATTCCCTGGGTGCCGATTTCGGGTTCGTGATTTTGGGTTCTGGGGTTCGGTGCTGATTTTTGGGTGTCGATTTCAGGGTGTTCATTTGGGGCGCTGATTTTGGGAATTTGATTTTGGGTGATGATTTTGGGGTTCTGATTTTGGGGTTCTGATTTTGGGATTTTAAATTTGGGGTTCTGATTTTGGGGTTCTGATTTGGGGATTTTGATTTTGGGGTTTTGATTTTGGGGTTTTGATTTTGGGTTCTGATTTTGGGTTCTGATTTGGGGATTTTGATTTTGGGATGTTGATTTTAGGATTTGATTTTGGGGTTTTGATTCTGGGTTCTGATTTTGGGGTTCTGATTCGGGTCTTGGTGCTGGTGCCAATTTTGGGGTGCTGCTTTTGGGTGCTGCTTTTGGGTCCCAGCTTTGGGTGCTGGGTGCTAATTAATTTTGAGTGTTAATTAATTTTGGGTGCTGATTTGGGGTTCTGGGTGCTGATCAGTTTTGGGCACTGATTTTGAGGTGCTAATTAATGAATTTGAGGTTCTAATTTGGAGTTCTGAACGCTAATTTTGGTATTTTGGGTCGCTTCTTTTTGGTGCTGGGCGCTAATTAATTTGGGTTGCTAATTCTGGGTGCTAATTAACCTCGGCTGCCAGTTTCGGGGTGCTGGGTGCTAATTAGGGGTGCTAATTAACTTCGGGGTGCTGATTTCGGGTGCCAATTAATTTCGGGTGCTAATTGGGGGTGCTAATGAACTAATTGGGGTGCTAATGAGCTAATGGGGGTGCTAATTAACTAATTGGGTGCCAATTAACTAATTGGGTGCTAATTACCGCATTCCGGTGGCGGGGCTGCCCCCCCCCTCCCCACCCCCCCCCCCTTTTTTGGGGGCCCAGCCCAGGAGGAGGGGCCGGATGAGGCCACGCCCCCGCGCGGCTGCAGCCAATCAGAGCCCGAGCTGCGGGAAGGAGGCGGAGCCAGCGCCGAGGGTAACCGGCCCCTCCCCCCACCCCCAAAAACCCCGAAAGGGCCCCAAAAATCCAAAAATGGCCACAAAAACCCAAAAGGGCCCCAAAAATCCAAAAATGGCCACAAAAACCCAAAAGGGCCACGAAAAACCATAAAGGGCCACCAGAATTGCAAAAGGGCCACCAAAAACCCAAAAAGACCACAAAAAACCCGAAAGGGCCACCAAAAACCCATCAAGGGCCACCAGAATCACAAAAGGGCCACCGAAAACGCAAAAACGGCCACCAACAACCCAAATGTGCCACCAGAAACCCAAAAGGGGCCACCAAAAACTCTTTGGGGGCACCAAAAATATCCCCGGGGCCACAAAAAATCCTCTGGGGCCACCAAAAACCCAAAAAGGGTCACCAAAAACTCAAAAAGGGTCACCAAAAACTCAAAAAGGGTCACCAAAATCCCTACCAGGGGCCATCAGAAATCCTCAGGAGCCACCAGAAACTCAAAAGGGGCCACCAAAAGTTCTCTGGGGCCACCAAAAATCCTCTGGGGCCACCAAATGTTCCTCTGGGGACACCAAAAGCTCCAGAGGGGCCACCAGGAGCCTCTGTGGGGTCCCTGACGTCCCCTGTCCCTCGTGCAGGGAATTTCTTCTACCTGAGCCTCCCCACGGGACCCCCCCGGCCGGGAGGGGACACCAGGGACAGCCCTGGGGACACCGGGGACAGCGCTGGGGACAGCGGGGACACCGGGGGGGACATGGAGGACACTCCTGGAGACACCCCTGGGGATGCAGAGCTGATCCTGGGGACCCTGGAGGAGCTGCGGGGGAAACTGCTGAGCCTGAGGGTGAGTGACACCGTGGGGACACGGGGACAGCAATGGGGACACGGGGACAGCAATGGGAAACTGCTGAGCCTGAGGGTGAGTGACACCGTGGGGACATGGGGACAGCAATGGGGACACGGGGACAGCAATGGGAAACTGCTGAGCCTGAGGGTGAGTGACACCGTGGGGACACGGGGACAGCATTGGGGACACGGGGACAGCAATGGGAAACTGCTGAGCCTCAGGGTGAGTGACAGCATGGGGACACTGGGGACAGCATTGGGGACATTGGGGACATCATTGGGGACATCAGTAGAAACTGCTGAGCCTGAGGGTGAGTGACACCGTGGGGACATGGGGACAGCATTGGGGACACGGGGACAGCAATGGGAAACTGCTGAGCCTGAGGGTGAGTGACACCGTGGGGACACGGGGACAGCATTGGGGACACGGGGACAGCAATGGGAAACTGCTGAGCCTCAGGGTGAGATTGGGGACGTTAACGGGGACAGGGTGACATCACTGGGGACATGGATGGGGAGGTGGGGACGTTAAGGGGATGGGGTGACACTGAGGGGATGGGGGGACACTGAGCTGTCCCCAGCCTGTCCCCAGCTGTCCCCGTGTCCCCCCAGGCCATGGAAGCCGCTCACCGGCAGCTGCTGCGCTCGCTGGGCTGGGGCGACGCCACCGTCCCCAGCACCGTCCCCAATGTCCCCAACACCGTCCCCAGTGTCCCCAACACCGTCCCCAGTGTCCCCCGGCGGGCCCCGCCGCCCCCCAGCCCCCGGCGCTCGCCGCAGGCCCCGCGGGCACACGGGGGACACGGGGGACAGGGGGCACACGGGGGACACGGGGGACACGGTGGCGCTGCCGCCCCCGGCGCAGGTGAGAGCCCGCGGGGCACCCGCAATGTCCCCTCCGTGTCACCCTGCCCATACCCCATTATTGCCCCGTTAATTTCCCATTTCCCCCATTACTCCCCCATTATTTCCCCTGTTAATTCCCCATTGTTCCCCATTATTCCCCCATTAATTTCCCATTTTCCCCGTTAATTTTCCCATTTTCCCCATTATTTCCCCCATTATTTTCCCATTATTTCCCCATTATTTCCCCCCATTAATTTTCCCATTTCCCCCATTATTTCCCCCATTAATTTCCCATTTCCCCCATTACTCCCCCTATTTATTTTCCCATTTCCCCCACGTTTCCCCCCATTATTTTCCCATTTCCCCATTACTCCCCCCGTTAATTTTCCCATTTCCCCCATTTTTCCCCCATTAATTCCCCATTATTTCCCCATTACTCCCCCCGTTAATTTTCCCATTTTCCCCATTTTTCCCCCATTAATTCCCCATTACTCCCCCCGTTAATTTTCCCATTTCCCCCATTTTTCCCCCATTATTTCCCCCATTAATTTTCCCATTTCCCCCATTACTCCCCCCATTATTTTCCCATTTTCCCCCCATTATTTCCCCATTACTCCCCCCGTTAATTTTCCCATTTCCCCCATTTTTCCCCCCATTATTTCCCCCCTTCTCTTGCAGGCTCCGACGGCCCCGCCCACCTCTAACCCGGTGGGGGGGGATGGGCTGGAATTTCCCTCCCCTCCCCCGCCCCCCCAACCCCGCCGGACGGACACCGGACACCGGACGGACACCGGACAGACGGACAGATGCACTTTGTTGGGAATCGCCCCTTTTTGCCCCAAATCCCCTATAAATATGTACGTACACCCCCCCACGCTGTAAATACCCCCGGGTGACAATCGGGGGCACACGGTGACAATCGGGGGGTGCCCCCGGGGTTGCCCCAGATCCCGGGTTTTGCCCCCAAACCCGGGCCCCATATAAATATTATAAATACAGAGCCCGGGGGGCTGCGAGCTGGGCACGGCCCAGGCCTGGAGTCGTTTTTGTGGGGTTTGGGGTTTTTGGGGGGTTTGGGGTTTTTGGGGGGTTTGGGGTTTTTGTGGGATTTGGGTTTTTTAATGGGATTTGGGTTTTTTTAAAATGGGATTTGGGTTTTTTAATAGGATTTGGGGGTTCTTTTTACATGTGGGAGGGGTCCCCAATCCCGGGGTGGGGATTTGGGGATTTGGGAATGAGGTTTGGAAATGGGGTCTGGGAATTTCGGGATCCAGCCCCGTTCCAGGGGCCGCCATGTCCCCAAAATGTCCCCAAATTGTCCCGGGAGGGCGGATGTGACAATGTCCTGGGCGTGTCACAGTGTCCCAAAGTGTGTGATAGTGTCCCCAAAGGGTGTGATAATGTCCCCAAAGGGGTGTGACAGTGTCCCAAAGTGTGTGAAAATGTCCCCAGGGTGTGATAATGTCCCCAAAGTGTGTGATAATGTCCCCAGGGTGTGATAATGTCCCCAAAGGGTGTCACACTGTCCCCAGGGTGTGTCCCAGTGTCCCCAGGGTGTGTGGCCCTGCCCCCAGGGGTGTCACAGCCCCGCGGTGACAATGCTCCGGTTTATTTACAAGCTGGCAGGGGAGGTGGCACTGTCACTGTCACCGTCCCTGTCCCCAGGGCTCCCAGCTGTCCCTGCGGCCCCAAACGGGGACAGCGAGGGGACACCAGGACACCAAAGTGTCCCCTCGGGGTCCATGGCAGCGAGGAGCGGTGGCACCTCCTGGTGGCACCTCCGAGGTCACTCTGGTGGCACATCCCGGTGTCACATCCCGGTGTCACATCCCGGGCGTCTTCGGTGCCACATCCCGGGCGTCCCCAGGATCGGGTTCTCGGTGTCCCAAATGTCCCCAGGTGAAGATCTCGTCCTGGGTGTCCCATTGCAATGTCCCATTGCAATGTCCCCAATGTCCCCAATGTCCCCAGTGTCACAAGGTGAAGATCTCGTCCTGGGTGTCCCCAGGGTCCCATTGCAGTGTCCCCAGTGTCCCCAATGTCCCCACGCTGTCACAATGTGAAGATCTCGTCCTCGCTGTCCCTGAGCGCGGCCGCCCGCGGGGTCCTGGTGAGGGGTCGGGGTCCCAGCCGGGCCCCCCGGGGGGACGCGGGGACGGTCGGTGACACCCGGGGGGACGCGGGGCCACCCCTGGCTGGCCCGGGGCTGCGGGGACAGACGGTGACAGTCGGTGACACGGGGGACACGGGGGATGGCGCTGCCACCGCCCGGCGCCACCTCTGTTGCACCCCAAGCTTCTCCCGGTTTCACCCCAATTTCCCCCCTAATTTTATCCCAGTTTCCCCCAGATTTTTCCCAAATTTTTCCCCCAGATTTTCAACAATCTCTTCTCCCAGTTTCAGCCCAATTTTACCCCAAATTTTCTCTCATTTTCACCCCAATTTTACCCCAGATTTTCTCTCATTTTCACCCCAATTTTCCCCTTAATTTTATCCCAGTTTCCCCCAGATTTTTCCCAAATTTTCCCCCCAAATTTTCAACAATTTTTTTCCCAGTTTCACCCCAGTTTTTTTCCCCATTTTTTTTCCATATTTTTTCCTGATTTTGCCCCAGATTTTTTACAGATTTTCCCCACCCAGTTCTCCCCAGTTTGCACCGGATTTTTCCCAGATTTCCCCCAGATTTTGCCCCCCGGTTTGCCCCAGGTTTTTCCCAGATTTTCCCCCCCAGTGCCCCGGATTTTTCCCAGATTTCCCCCAGACTTTCCCCCCCAGTGTGCCCCGGATTTTCCCGAATTTCCCCCGTTTCCCCCCAGTTCGCACCTGGAGCCCGGGCCCTGCAGCCGCAGCGCCGCCGCCTCCTTGCAGCGCCCGATCTCGGCGTCCAAGCGCCGCAGGAAATCCGAGGCCGAGAGGTCGCGCCGGGAGCGGCCGGGGCCGGGGCCGGGGCTGTCACCGGGGCTGTCCCCGGGAATGTCCCCGGGAATGTCCCCGGGGCTGTCCCCGCCGGTGTCCCCGGGGCTGTCCCCGCCGGTGTCCCCGGGGCTGTGGCGCTGTCCCGGGATGAGCAGCGTGGCTCGCAGGAAGATGCTGTCCGAGGAGTAGAGGCGGTTGGCGCGCTGGATCTGCTCCATCTGCGGGACGGGACCGGGATGGCACCGGGACAGAACGGGACAGAACGGGGACAGGGATGGAACGGGACCAGCACAGGGACAGGGATGGGGAGAGGGATAAGGACACGGACCAGGACGGGCAGAACCGAGCGGGTCACGACCGGCCCGAGATGACCCCTGGGGACCCCCATGGCCTTCCGTGCCCCCGGTGTCCCCCCGGTGTCCCCGGGCCGCTCACCGTCACCCCGTAGCGCAGCGCCAGCCCCTGCAGGGTGTCCCCGGGCTGCAGGCGGTGCTCCCGCGGGGCCGCCCCGGCTCCGCCGCTCCCCGCCATGGCCCGCCCGGGGCTCCCGGCCCGGGGGTCCCGCCCGGGGCTCCCGGCCCGGCCCCGCCGCTCACGGGGAGCGCTCGGCCCCGGGCCCCGCCGAACCGGCGCGGCCTCGCGACCCCTCCTGGGAGTTGTAGTTCCGCCCGGGCTGTCTCCGCCGCCATTCCCACGGAAGCTCCCCGCGCTCGAACTACAACTCCCATCACCTCGCGGGGTCCGAGCCGAGCGCTCGCTGATTGGCGGTTCCCCGCGCCGGCTGTCCGCTGGGAAGCGCTACCCGGAAGCGGCTGTGGCGGTTGCCATGGAGACCGCGGCCTAGCGGGGCCCGCCATGTCCTTTAAGCGCGACGAGAGCGACCCGGGGCCGCTCGGGGCGCTGCAGGTGGGACTGGCACCCCCGGGACCCCTGCCCGGACACCCCCCGGGCACCCCCGGCACCGCCGAGCCCAGCCCCGGCCTCACCCCCGGGCCGCGGCCTGAACCCCGCGGGTCCCCCTGAGGCCTTCTCTGGGAACCTCTGAGGCTTTCCCTCGGTTCCCCCCGAGGCCTTCCCTGGGTCCCCCCCGAGGCCTTCCCTGGGTCCTCTTTGTCCCCTCGAGGTCCCCAACCCTTTTCTCGGTCCCTTTGTGTCCCCTCACCCTCCCCGCGGTGTCCCCAACCCTTTCCTGAACCCCCGGGACCCCCAACCCTTCCCTGGATCCCTCTGTGTCCCCTCAGTCCCCTCGAGGTCCCCCAGGCCCTTCCCCGGCCCCACTTTGTCCCTTCAGCCCTTCCCAGGGCTGTCCGGTTTGGGCACAGTTTGGGGACAGTCTGGGGCTGGTTTGGGGACAGTTTAGGCTGGTTTGGGGACAGTTTAGGGACAGTTTGGGCACAGTCTGGTGCCGGGGGTGACCGTGGTGGCCCCGTGTCCCCAGAGGCGCCGCGTGGCCGAGCTGCTGGCCAGCGCCATCCCCGAGGACGAGGCGCTGCTGCTGCGCGATGGCAGGTGAGGGTCTGTGATGTCCCCGGTGTCCCCGGTGTCCCTCGGTGTCCCCAGCGTCCCTGAGTGTCCCTGCACTGTCCCCAGGCTGGCGTGCTCGCTGTGTCCCCAGCGGCCCGTGTGTGACACCCTGCAGATGCTGCTGCTGCACCGCGCGGGCAGGAAGCACCTGGACAGTGAGTGGGGGTGGCCTGTGTCACCTGTGCTGTGTCACCTGTGTCCCCTGTGCTGTCACCTGTGCTGTCCTCTCACCCCATCCCTGTCCCCATGTCCCTGTTCCCTGTCCCCTCACTGTCCCTGTCCCCTCACAGTGTCCCTGTGCCCTGTCCCCTCACTGTCCCCTCCCTGTCCCAGACCTGCTCCGTTCCTTCGGGCGGCCGCGCTGTCCCCAGGTGACCCCGGAGGGACCCCAGGTGACCCCGCAGGAGGCCCCAGGTGTGCAGGTGGGTGTGGCCTGGCTGGGCGTGGCCCCAGGGGTGTGACACCAAGTGGGCGTGGTCTCTGTGGGGGTGGTCTCCAAGTGGGTGGGGCCCCATGCTGTCTCCCAAGTGGGCGTGGCCTATGTGCGTGCTCTGGGTGGGCGTGGTTTCCATGGGGGCGTGGCCTCTGGGCACGTCCTAAGTTAGCGTGGCCTGGATGTGTGGGGGGGGTGGTCGTGGTGGGTGTGGCCTGCGGTGGGTGTGGCTCAGTGGGCGTGTCCTGCAGGCCCCGCTGCTGGCCCGGACGCGCCGCCTGGCCCGGAGCGCTCTGCTGACAACGGCCCCATATAACAGCTGCTGCAGGAGGGACAGGTGAGGAAATGGGGTAAAAACGGGCAAAAACGGGGAAATGCTGACAATAGCCCCCTATAACAGCTGCTGCAGGAGGGACAGGTGAGGAAATGGGGTAAAAACGGGCAAAAACGGGGAAATGCTGACAATAGCCCCCTATAACAGCTGCTGCAGGAGGGACAGGTGAGGAAATGGGGTAAAAACGGGCAAAAACGGGGAAATGCTGACAAGGGCCCTGTACAGCAGCTGCTGCAGGAGGGACAGGTGAGGAAATGGGGAAATTGAGGAAAAACGGGGAAATGGGGCAAAATGGGGGAAAACCAGGGGAAGACACGTGAGGGAAATGGGGGGAAAATGGGAGAAAATGGGGAGTGGGGGAAAAACGGGGGGGAAATGAGGCCGTGGGGGGAAATGGAGGGAAAATGGAGGGAAATACAGGGGAAAATGGGGTAGGTGGGGGAAATAGAGAAGCAGGGGGAAAATGGGAAAAGATGGGGAAATGTGGGAAGAAAACGGGGAAAAAACAGGAGCAGATGGGAACGGAGCTCAGGGACACCAGGAAAACCTGGGAACAAAGGGGAAAGGCTGGGAAAGGAAGCCAGGGACAGCGGGGAAAGTTCTGGAATGTTTTGGGATTCACCCCCTCTCGTTTCCCTCTCCCAGGACCAAGGGCAGCAGCGCCCGGGCCGGGATCCCCGGGATGAGCCCAAAGAATTCCCGGACGCCGCCGGAGCCGTCACAGAACCCCGGGAACCCCGGGAGTGCCGAAAGCCCCGCGCACGGAGAGGGTGAGCAGAGCCCGCCCGCCCGCTCCGGGGGATCCCCGGGAATTCCCGGTCCCGGCATTCCCGGCAGCCGCTCCCTCCTCCCGCAGGCGCCGCCAGGGACGGCAGGCGGGGAAGGAAAGGGAATTCCCAAAGTCCCAAAGAGGGGCCGAGCCCCGAGCGGCTGCGGATCCTGCGGCACCACCTGCACCTGCGCAGGTGGGTCGGGAGCGGGGGGTTATGGGGGAAAAAATCCCGAAAATGTCCCACAAAAAAATGGCCGCAAAAATCCCCCAAAATATCCCCAAAAATAACCCCAAGAATCCAAAAAAAAAAGCCAAAAAAACCCCCCAAAAAATCCTCGAAAAATCCCAAAAATGTTCCACAAAAAATCTCCACAAAAATCCCCCCAAAAAATAAAAAAAAAATCCCAAAAAAATCCCCAAATAACCCCCAAAAAAGCCCCCAAAAATCCCAAAAACTCCAGAAAAATCCCCAAAATTCCCCAAAATCCCTGAAAATCCCCAACTCCCTCTCCCTGTGTCCCAGCCGGGGCTGGCTCCAGGATCCCGCTGGGAACTGGGTCAAGGACGGCAACGCCGAGTTTGACTCCGACGAGGAGGAGCCGCCACCGCTGCCGCCAGCCTGACGCCCCCAGGTGTCCCCAGGTGTCCCCAGGTGTCCCCAGGTGTCCCCAGGTGTCCCCAGAGCCCCGGGAATAAAGCAGGAAATTTTTGGGACGTTTTTGCACCATTTTTTCCACTTTATTCCCAGCGGTTCCTGAGCTCGGGGGGGGGTTTAGGATTTCTTCTGTTGGCGACCTGGGGGGAGAGAAAAGGGGGGTCAGGGGACACTTGGGGACATTGAGGAGCCCCCTCTGAGGTGGGCTCAGCTCTGGGACCCTTGGGGACACCTGGGGACACCTGGGGACATTGAGGAACTCGCTCTGAGGTGGGATCTGCTCTGGGACCCGCGGATGACCCTTGGTGACACTCACAGAGCTCTGGGATACCCCAAACCCACCCTTGGTGGCACTTGGGGACACTCACGGAGCTCTGAGACCCCCAGGTGACCCTTGGGGACACTCAGGGAGCTCTGGGACCCTTGGGGACATTCAGGAGCTCTGGGACACCCCAAATCCACCCCAGGCGACACTTGGGGACACTCACGGAGCCCTGGGACCCCCGGGTGACCCTCGGGGACACTGGGGACGCCGGTGGCACTCACGGAGCCCTGGGACCCCCGGGTGACCCTCGGGGACACTGGGGACGCCGGTGGCACTCACGGAGCCCTGGGACCCCCGGGTGACCCTCGGGGACACTGGGGACGCCGGTGGCACTCACGGAGCTCGTTGTTGCGGGTGAGGGCGGCGGCGGCGCGCGCCCGCGGGCCCTGCAGGGTGAAGGTGTAGCCGAACCTCAGCAGGGAGGGACACTGCTCCAGGGTGGCTGCCATGGCCATCTCCACCGTGTCCCCGAGGCGCTGGCACTGCGGGGACATGGGGGACACGGTCAGTGGCACTGCCACACTGCTCCAGGGTGGCTGCCATGGCCATCTCCACCGTGTCCCCGAGGCGCTGGCACTGCGGGGACATGGGGGACACGGTCAGTGGCACTGTCACACTGCTCCAGGGTGGCTGCCATGGCCATCTCCACCGTGTCCCCGAGGCGCTGGCACTGCGGGGACATGGGGGACACGGTCAGTGGCACTGTCACAGCCCCATCTGCACGGTGTCCCCGAGGCGCTGGCACTGCGGGGTTGGAGACAGGTCACTGTCACCTCCCCTGCTGTCCCTGTCCCTGCTGTCCTCGCTGTCCCGCCGTCCCTGCTGTCACTGTCCCCCTGTCCCCATTGTCCCCATTGTCCCCATTGTCACCTGGTTGTCGAGGCGGATCTCGCTCAGGCTGTGGCACTGCCCCAGGGCTGCCAGGACAGTGTCTCTGTCCCCACTGTCCCCACTGTCCCCACTGTCCCCCTGTCCCCATTGTCACCTGGTTGTCGAGGCGGATCTCGCTCAGGCTGTGGCAGCGCCTGATGGCTGCCAGGACAGTGTCTCTGTCCCCACTGTCCCCATTGTCCCCATTGTCCCCATTGTCACCTGGTTGTCGAGGCGGATCTCGCTCAGGCTGTGGCACTGCCCCAGGGCTGCCAGGACAGTGTCTCTGTCCCCACTGTCCCCACTGTCCCCCTGTCCCCCCTGTCCCCGTTGTCACCTGGTTGTCGAGGCGGATCTCGCTCAGGCTGTGGCAGCGCCCCAGCGCCCCCAGCAGCCGCAGCATCCCCGCGCTGGTGATGAAGTTGGACTCGAGGTTGAGGCTCTGCAGGCTCTGGTTCTGCTCCAGCATCTCGGCCACCGCCTGGGGACACCCCGGTGGCACCAAAAGGGCACCAGGGTGGCACCAAATGGCACCAGGGTGGCACCAAATGGCACCACAGTGGCACCAAGGTGGCACCATGGGGACGCCGCCCTTGGTGTCCCCGGGATGGGTGGACAGGCACAGGGTGGACCCGTGCAGGGACACTCGGGGACACTTTGGGGACTCACGTTGGCCACCAGGTCGTTGCTGCGCGTGGCCACCAGGCTGAGGCTGCGCACGTGCGTGTTGGTCTTGATGGCCCCGCAGATGGCCTCGAGCGTGGGGACAGGGATGTCCTGGGGACAGCCGGGGACGCTCGGGGTCACACGGGGCTGGGGTGGGACCTGGCACCTTGGGGACCCAAGTTGAGGGCTGCCCAGGCCCCCCCGGGGACACGCTGGGGACTCGTTGGGGACGGTGCCACCACTGTGTCACCTTGATGTTGTTGAGGTTGACGTCCTGCAGCTCGGGGTCGTTGTCCTGCAGCCGCCGCAGCGTCTCGGCCACGTCCGTGGGGTTCGGGGGCTCGTCCGGCACCGGGCGGTACCGGTCCGGCTGCACCACGCCTGGGACAGCGCGGGGACAGCGCGGGGACGTGGGGACAGCGAGGGGACAGCGCTCAGGGACACACGAGTTTGGTCCCCAAATGCTGCCCCAACCACCCTGTAGAGGCGCTTGTCCCCTGTCCCCATCCCTGTCCCTTGTCCCCTCTGTCACTCACTGTTGATGCCCTGTCCCTGTCCCATGTCCCTGTCCCCGCTGTCACTCACTGTTGATGCCCTGTCCCTGTCCCCTGTCCCTGTCCCCTCTGTCACTCACTGTTGATGCTCTGTCCCCTGTCCCTGTCCCCATCCCTGTCCCCGCTGTCACTCACTGTTGATGCCCTGTCCCTGTCCCCTGTCCCCATCCCTGTCCCCGCTGTCACTCACTGTTGATGCCCTGTCCATGTCCCCTGTCCCCGTCCCTGTCCCCATTGTCACTCACTGTTGATGCCCTGTCCCTGTCCCCATGTCCCTGTCCCCGTTCCTGTCCCCATTGTCACTCACTGTTGATGCCCTGTCCCTGTCCCTATGTCCCCGTCCCTGTCCCCATTGTCACTCACTGTTGATGCCCTGTCCCTGTCCCCATGTCCCCATCCCTGTCCCCATTGTCACTCACTGTTGATGCTCTGTCCCTGTCCCCATGTCCCTGTCCCCATCCCTGTCCCCATTGTCACTCACTGTTGATGCCCTCGGTGTTGCAGATGTTCCCGCTGCAGATGGCGTCGTAGTACTGCTTGTTACTCATCAGCGTGTACATGCCCAGGATGGCTGCGGGGACACGGTGACACTGGGGACACCGGGGGGACACAGGGAGGGGACACAGGGCCCCCCTGTCCTCCCAGGGAGGTGGCACCGGGAGCCAAAGGTGGGGTCGGAGCTGCTTTAACTGAGGGGACACTGACAGGGAGAGGGGACAGAGCGTGACGCTGTGGGACAATGTGTGTGACACTCAGGTGTGTGTGACACAAGGACAGGTGTGCCGTGCTGGTGTCATGCTCGGTGTCCCTCCCCAGGCGACACTGTGACATGTGTGACACTCAGGTGTGTGGCAGTCACACAGTGACACTCAGGTGTGTGGCAGTGACACAGTGACACTCAGGTGTGTGGCGGTGACACGGTGACACAGTGACACTCAGGTGTGTGGCAGTCACACAGTGACACTCAGGTGTGTGACAGTGACACGGTGACACTCAGGTGTGTGGCAGTGACACGGTGACACAGTGACACTCAGGTGTGTGGCGGTGACACGGTGACACTCAGGTGTGTGGCAGTGACACAGTGACACTCAGGTGTGTGACAGTGACACGGTGACACTCAGGTGTGTGGCAGTGACACGGTGACACGGTGACACTCAGGTGTGTGGCAGTGACACAGTGACACTCAGGTGTGTGACAGTGACACAGTCACACAGTGACACTCAGGTGTGTGGCAGTGACACGGTGACACTCAGGTGTGTGGCGGTGACACGGTGACACAGTGACACTCAGGTGTGTGGCGGTGACACGGTGACACTCAGGTGTGTGGCGGTGACACGGTGACACAGTGACACTCAGGTGTGTGGCGGTGACACAGTGACACTCAGGTGTGTGGCAGTGACACGGTGACACGGTGACACTCAGGTGTGTGGCGGTGACACGGTGACACAGTGACACTCAGGTGTGTGACAGTGACACGGTGACACTCAGGTGTGTGACAGTGACACGGTCACACAGTGACACTCAGGTGTGTGGCGGTGACACGGTGACACTCAGGTGTGTGACAGTGACACGGTCACACAGTGACACTCAGGTGTGTGGCGGTGACACGGTGACACTCAGGTGTGTGACAGTGACACGGTCACACAGTGACACTCAGGTGTGTGGCGGTGACACGGTGACACTCAGGTGTGTGGCAGTGACACGGTGACACGTGTGACACTCAGGTGTGTGGCAGTGACACAGTGACACTCAGGTGTGTGACAGTGACACGGTGACACGGTGACACTCAGGTGTGTGACAGTGACACGGTCACACAGTGACACTCAGGTGTGTGGCGGTGACACGGTGACACGTGTGACACTCAGGTGTGTGACAGTGACACGGTCACACAGTGACACTCAGGTGTGTGGCAGTGACACGGTGACACTCAGGTGTGTGGCGGTGACACGGTGACACAGTGACACTCAGGTGTGTGACAGTGACACGGTGACACTCAGGTGTGTGGCAGTGACACAGTGACACTCAGGTGTGTGGCAGTGACACGGTCACACAGTGACACTCAGGTGTGTGACAGTGACACGGTGACACTCAGGTGTGTGGCAGTGACACGGTCACACAGTGACACTCAGGTGTGTGACAGTGACACGGTGACACAGTGACACTCAGGTGTGTGGCAGTGACACAGTGACACTCAGGTGTGTGGCAGTGACACGGTGACACGGTGACACTCAGGTGTGTGACAGTGACACGGTCACACAGTGACACTCAGGTGTGTGGCAGTGACACGGTGACACAGTGACACTCAGGTGTGTGGCGGTGACACGGTGACACTCAGGTGTGTGGCGGTGACACGGTGACACAGTGACACTCAGGTGTGTGGCAGTGACACGGTGACACAGTGACACTCAGGTGTGTGGCGGTGACACGGTGACACTCAGGTGTGTGGCGGTGACACGGTGACACAGTGACACTCAGGTGTGTGGCAGTGACACGGTGACACAGTGACACTCAGGTGTGTGGCGGTGACACGGTGACACTCAGGTGTGTGACAGTGACACGGTGACACTCAGGTGTGTGGCGGTGACACGGTGACACGGTGACGCAGCCCTTGGGGACAGCGTTACCCTCGGCCGAGGCCCGTCCTGGCGCGGCTCCCGGCCCCGCGGGGGTCCCGGCCTGCGCAGAGCCCGGGCTGGGGAATCCCGTGGGAATCCCGTGGGAATCCCCCCCAGCCCCGCCACATCCCAACCCCACGGGAATCCCCCCCCCCCATCCCAGCCTTTATACAAACCCACCCCGTTCCAACCCCATCCGTGCCCCCATCCCAATCCCACTCCCAATCCCGCTGTCCCCTGTGTGCCCCCGCACCGGCGATGTCGCACATCTCGGCCTCATTCCCAATCCCATTCCCGCTGTCCCCGTGTCCCCTGTGTCCCTGTGTCCCCTCTGTCCCCTCTGTCCCCTGTGTCCCCTCTCACCGGCGATGTCGCACATCTCGGCCTCATTCCCAATCCCGTTCCCAATCCCATTCCCTCTGTCCCCATATCCCAGTGTCCCTGTGTCCCCTCTGTCCCCTCTGTCCCCTCTGTCCCCTGTGTCCCCTCTCACCGGCGATGTCGCACATCTCGGCCTCATTCCCAATCCCATTCCCAATCCCATTCCCTCTGTCCCCATATCCCAGTGTTCCATGTGTCCCCTCTGTCCCCTCTGTCCCCTGTGTCCCCGTGTCCCCTCTCACCGGCGATGTCGCACATCTCGGCGTCGGTGGCGTTGGCCAGCGCCTCCTCCAGCTCCGGCTCCAGCGTCACCTGCTCCTCCCGCGGCAGCGCCGGCGCCGCCGCCTTGGGCACAAACGGCTTCCCTGGGGACAGGGGACATTGACTGCGGACATGGGGACATGGGGACAAACGGCTTCCCTGGGGACAGGGGACATTGACTGGGGACATGGGGACATGGGGACAAACAGCTTCCCTGGGGACATGGGGACAGGGTCACAGGGACATGGGGACAAACGGCTTCCCTGGGGACATGGGGACAGGGTCACAGGGACATGGGGACAAATGGCCTCCCTGGAGACAGGGGCATGGGACAAATGGCTTCAGGTGGCATCGTCAGGGTGGCCTCATTGAGGCTGGCGCTGCTGTCACAGGGTTGTGACCATCCCGGGGCTGGCACTGCTGTCACACAGGGGGTGACACAGGAGGTGACACTGCCAGGGCTGGTGGCCGTGCCCGGGGCTGGCGGGGGCCCAGCTCGCCCAGGACACCCGAGCCGCTGGCGAGGCCGAGCTAAATATAAAATATCCCCGAGCCTGGGGGCCCGCTCCCCTCCGTGTCCCCTCCGTGTCCCCAGCCCGTCCCCCCGCTGTCCCCCCGCTGTCCCCCCCGCTGTCCCCAGACCTTTTTTCTCGCCGGTGAAGGGCACCAGGTCCTGGCGCTCCTCGGCCTCCAGCGCCTGCCGCTCCAGGTGCTGCAGGAGCGCGTCCCGGTCCAGCGGGCCCGTGGGGCTCTTGTGGGTCTGATCGCGCTGGCGCAGCCCCGCGGGCAGCAGCACGTTCTGGGGACAGCGCCGGTGTCACCACGGCCCGTGTCACCACGGCCCGTGTCACCATCGGCAGTGTCACCGCCGCCAGTGTCACCGCCCGTGTCCCCGCGCCCACCTCGGGGTCCATCTCGGCCAGCTCCGCGTCCAGCTGCGCCAGCTCCTCCGGGGACAGCTCCTGCAGGATCTTGTCCTCGTCGATGTCGCGGTACTTCTCCAACTCCTGCCGGTACGGCGTCATGGCCGCGGGCACCTGGGGACAGCGGGGACAGCCGTGGGGACACGGGGGGACAGCGGGGTGGCACCGGTGGGGACAGGCGGGGACACGGGGGGACCCCGTTCGTGCCAGCCCTGCCGGGCTCTGGGGACACCGTGGGACACGAGGGGACACGGCGGGACCTGGCCGTGCCACCTCTGTGGCGACAGCGCTTGGGGACTCCGAGCACACCCCAGGAGCTGTCCCCAACCTTTGTCACCTCCCAGGGTCACATCCCGCTCCTGCCTCACCCCCCAATTGCGGCCCCGCCGGGGGTGACGGGAGGGACAAACCGCGAGTCCCCAAATGTCGCGACCCCACGGGCGCCGCTCTCTCCGCGCTGTCCCCGAATGTCGCGGCCCCCGAATGTCGCTCTCTCCGCGCTGTCCCCGCTGTCCCCATGGCGGGGGTGGGGACGCACCTGCCGCGCCCCGCCGCCCTCGCAGCGTGGGAATTCCTCGGGAAGCGGCTCCGGGATCCCCAAATCCCGAATCCCGGCGGCGGGCGGGGGAGGGGGAGGTGACACGGCGGGGACAGCGCGGGGACAGCGCGGCCGTACCTGGGGCTGAACCCGCGGCCGGTGCTAAAGCCCCGGGGCGGATCCCAAAGGCGATCCCGAAGGCGATCCCGAGCGCCGGGGCGGATCCCAAAGGCGATCCCGAAGGCGATCCCGAAGGCGATCCCGAGCGCCGGGGCCGATCGCGGAGCGCTGGGGCCGCGCGGGGCATGAGATCAGCGCTTTATTCGGGCCCGGAGGGGCGGATCCGCGTCCCGGCCCTTATCGGGAACGGGGGGGCCCCGCCCCGGCCCCGCGGGGCCCCGCGACCCCAAACACGGCCGGGGGAAACGGGAGAGCGGATCCGTCCCCGATCCCATAAACCCCGAAAAGATCCGGCCCCAAAACCGCCGGGGGAAAAGGGAGAGCGGATCCTTCCCAAATCCCACAAACCCCAAAAAGATCCGACCCCAAAAACCGCTGGGGAAAAAGGGAGAGCAGATCCTTCCCCAGCCCTATAAACCCCGCAAAGCTCGAGGCGGGTTTGGCCCCACGAGCCCCAAATTCGGGGGGTGAAGGGGGTTTGGACCCCCCCCAAAAATGCGGTTTGGGGGAGCTGGGAATGTTTTGTGGGTTCTTCTGGAAAAAACGAATCCTATAAACTTTATTTTAGGCTTTTCTGGAGAAATGAATCCCATAAACATTTTGTTTATTGTAGTGTTTTCTGGAAAACGATGGGTTCACGAACCTCGTTTGTTGCAGGATTTCTTGGAAAAACGGCTCCCGCCCCGTATTTTTTTGTAGGATTTCTGGAAAAGGGTTCTGCAAACCTCTTTATTTATTGTAGGAACTCCTGGAAAAAGGGGCTCCCACCACCCCACACAGACCAACCCCCAAACCAACTTTATTCCCTCATCCGACACCCCTGGTGAACAACGACCCCCCAAAAAAATCACTCAGATGGGTGACCCCAAATCCCCAAATCCCAAATCCTGGGATTTCAGGCACCGCCGACACTTGGAAAGGAGCCCCTCAACAAAGCCATGACAGCTGTCAGTCCCAGTATCCCAACACCCCAAATCCCAAATCCGGGATCTCGGGCACTGGGCACGCTCTGTTTGGTGACGATTTTCTGCCATTTTAAGAACACCCCAAACCCCAAACCCCATATCCGTGGTGTCAGGCACTGGGCACGCTCTGTTTGGTGACGATTTTCTGCTGTTTTAGGAACATTCCCAAACCCCCATACCCCAAACCCCATATCCGTGGTGTCAGGCACTGGGCACGCTCTGTTTGGTGACGATTTTCTGCCGTTTTAGGAAGAACATTCAAACCTCAAACCCCATCTCTCAGGCACTGGGCACGCTCTGTTTGATGACGATTTTCTGCTGTTTTAGGAACATTCCCAAACCCCCATACCCCAAACCCCATATCCGTGGTGTCGAGCACTGGGGGCGCTCTGTTTGACGATGATTTTCTGCCGTTATAGAAAGAACACCCCAACACCCCAATACCCCAAAATCCCAAATCTACGGTATCAGGACAGATCAGGCACTGGCTCTGTTTGACGACGATTTTCTGCTGTTCTGGAAAGGACTCTCCCAAACCCCAAACCCCAAACCCCAAATCCCAATCTGTGCTGTCAAGCACTGGGCACGCTCTGTTTGATGACGATTTTCTGCCGCCCGGGCCGTGCCCCGGTGCCATCCGCGGCCCCTCCGGCCGTGCCCACGGCGGCGGCGGCGGCGCTGGGCAGCCCGTGCGCCGTCACGTACTTGCGGTAGGCCTCGCGGATGATGCGGAAGGCGCGGGCGTTGGCGTAGGGGATGTCGGTGATGGGGTCGCGGTAGAGCGCGGGCTTGTGCGTCACCGGGCACAGCTCCCGCACCGGCAGCCGCGGCGCCCGCGCCCGGGGGAAGCAGCGCTCGAAGGTGGCGTCGTCGCTGAAGGAGATGAACGTGCGCGAGCACTTGGCCGGCGACGGCGGCTGCGCCTCGGGGTCCAGCCTGGAACCGAGGGGACGCGGTGGGGACGGGGCTGGGGATCCCAAAAGGGGGGTCCTGAGGGGCCCGGGGGCTCGGAAAGTGCAGCTCCAATGGGGGATTTGGGGCGGCCAAAAGGGGGGTCCTGAGGGGTCTGGGGGCTCAAAGGGTGAGGGTCCAGTGGGGGACTTGGGTGGCCCTCGGAGGGGACCCAAAAGGGGGGATTCCTAAGGGATTTGGGGGCTCAAAGGTGAGGGTTCAGTGGGGAATTTGGGATCGCCACGGTGGTGCTTAGAAACTGTGAATCCCATGGGATTTGGGATCTCAAAAACTGTGACTTCAATGGAGGACTTGGGATCACAGGAAATTGAAAATCCCATGGGATTTGGGGCCTCAAGAGGTGCAGCTCCAACGGGGGATTTGAGTTCATCAAGGTGCAGCTCAAAACCTGTTTTTCCCATAGGATTTGGGGCTCAAAACCTGCTTTTCCCATGGGATGAGGGGGTTCCAGGGTGGCAGCCCCAGGCTGGGATCCAGTGCCCAAATCCCCCCCCAGAACTGGGACGTTGGGATCTGGGTGGGAGCTCTGGGGCGCTGCCCAGCCCGTGTGGGGCAGCCCCAGGCTGGATTTGGGGTTCGGGGGCACTCACCCCTCGACGTCCACGGGGTCATCGCGGCCGGGCTCGGGCAGCAGGGGCATGGTCAGCGACCAGTAGCGGATCACGGGGCCCACGATCTTCCTCTTCTTCTGCACCTGCTTCTTCTTGTCCGCCTCCAGCCGCTCGTAGTTCTCTGGGGGCGGGAATGGGATCAGGAATGGGATCAGGAATCGGGGCAGGAACAGCTCAGCCCAGCACAGGGACATGGCAGCGCTGCCAGGTCTGACCCTGGGATCCCTGTGCCATTCCCAGAGTTCCTGTCCCGGTATCCCAGCCCCATTCCCAATCCCAACCCTGTTCCCTCACCCAGGGAGCACAGGTTGATCTCCTCGGTGATCTTGGCCCTGTCCCAGTACCCCACTCCCATTCCCATTCCCATAGTATCCCATTATCCCATTCCTCACCCAGGGAGCACAGGTTGATCTCCTCGGTGATCTTGGCCCTGTCCCAGCCCCATTCCCATTCCCAGTACCCCAATCCCATTCCCAGTACCCCGTTCCTCAGCCAGGGAGCGCAGGTTGATCTCCTCGGTGATCTTGGCTCTATCCCATTCCCATTCCCAGTACCCCAATCCCATTCCCAGTACCCCGTTCCTCACCCAGGGAGCGCAGGTTGATCTCCTCGGTGATCTTGGCCCTGTCCCAGCCCCAATCCCATTCCCAGTACCCCAATCCCATTCCCAGTACCCCGTTCCTCACCCAGGGAGCGCAGGTTGATCTCCTCGGTGATCTTGGCCTCCTCCAGCAGCTCCTCCTGCGTCAGGGGCCGCTCGTAGCTCGTCCCTCCCTTCTTCCTCTTGGACTGCACCTGGCGCTCCTGGAGCCGCAGGAACGTCTGCCGGGTGTGCTCCGTGGTGGACTGCCGCATGTGCTTCCTGCCTGGAGAACAAACACAGATCCATGGATCACCCAGAGATCCCCGGGATCCCATTCCCACCCCCTGGGGAACCAGCAGTTCTCCCTTGGGATCCCATTGCCAGGGAACGTCTGTCATGCTCCGTGGTGGACTGGCGCATGTGCTTCCTGCCTGGAGAACAAACACAGATCCATGGATCACCCAGAGATCCCACCCCAGCTCCTGGATCACCCAGAGATCCCCGGGATCCCATTCCCACCCCCTGGGGAACCAGCAGTTCTCCCTTGGGATCCCATTGCCAGGGAACGTCTGTCATGCTCCGTGGTGGACTGGCGCATGTGCTTCCTGCCTGCATCAGCCACGGGATCTGCTCCCGGCCTGGATCACCCAGAGATCCCCGGGATCCCCATCCCAACCCCTGGAGAACCAGGAGCTCCCCCAGAGGATCCCACTTCCAGCTGGGATCACCACGGCCCCGCTCCCACCCCATCCCCACCCATCCCGCCCTCACTCACTGTCTCCCCCGTCCTCCTGCAGCTCCAGGGGCGCGGCTTTCACCTCCCGGCCCCGCTGGGCGCCTCCCCGCGGCCCCTCGGCCTTCTTGGCCCGCAGGCTCTTGAGCGGCTCCTGCAGGGATGGACGGACGGAGGGAGGGCACAAACGGGACGGGATGAGGGCCGGGAACAGCTCGGGATCGGGAGAATTTCCCCCGAAAAGCGCCGGGATCGGGGGGGGATTTCCCCGGAGGAGCCCCGGAGCACCGGGATTGGAGGGATTTCCCCGGAAAAGCCTCGAGAAGGGCTCGGTACCCCCAGAACAGCTCGGTACCCCCAGGAAGGGCTCGGGATTGGGGAATTTCCCCGGAAAAGCCCCGGTAAGGGCTCGGTACCCCCAGAATAGCTCAGTACCCCTGGTAAGGGCTCAGGATCGGGAGGATTTCTCTGGAGCAGCCCCGGTAAGGGCTCGGTACCCGGAGCAGCCCCAGGATCAGGAGAATTTCCCTGGAGAAGCCCCGGTAAGGGCTCGGTACCCGGTAGGCCTTGGTGAGCACGCGGCGCCGCCGTCGGGGCTCGGCCTCGTCCTGCTCCGAGCCCGGCTCGTCGCCCTCGTCGATGTCGAAGTCAGAGTCGACCTCGTCATCGCTGTCGGAGTGATCCCCGCGGTACTCGTCATCGCCGGACTCCTGGGGTAACAGAAACATTGGGAATGTTGGGAATGTTGGGAATGAGAACTGTGGGATCCCACAGAGTGATCCCCAAGTGATCCCCGCGGTACTCGTCATCGCCGGACTCCTGGGATATCAGAAACATTGGGAATGTTGGGAATGTTGGGAATGGGAACTGTGGGATCCCACAGAGTGATCCCCAAGTGATCCCCGCGGTACTCGTCATCGCCGGACTCCTGGGATATCAGAAACACGGGGAATGTTGGGAATGTTGGGAATGGGAACCGTGGGATCCCACAGAGCGATCCCCAAGTGATCCCCGCGGTACTCGTCATCGCCGGACTCCTGGGATATCAGAAACATTGGGAATGTTGGGAATGTTGGGAATGGGAACTGTGGGATCCCACAGAGTGATCCCCAAGTGATCGCCGCGGTACTCGTCATCGCCGGACTCCTGGGATATCAGAAACACGGGGAATGTTGGGAATGTTGGGAATGAGAACTGTGGGATCCCACAGAGTGATCCCCAAGTGATCGCCGCGGTACTCGTCATCGCCGGACTCCTGGGATATCAGAAACATTGGGAATGTTGGGAATGTTGGGAATGAGAACTGTGGGATCCCACAGAGTGATCCCCAAGTGATCGCCGCGGTACTCGTCATCGCCGGACTCCTGGGGTAACAGAAACATTGGGAATGTTGGGAATGGGAACCGTGGGATCCCACAGAGTGATCCCCAAGTGATCCCCGCGGTACTCGTCATCGCCGGACTCCTGGGATATCAGAAACACGGGGAATGACGGCAATATGGGAATGTTGGGCATATGGGATAGGGAGCCATGAAATCCCACCCAGGGATCCCCATGGGACTCGTTGTCCCTGGGCTCCTGGGATGGGGAACTGTCGGAATAATGGGAGCGTGGAAATACGGGGATTGGGAACCATGGGATCCTACTGAGTCCTGGGATGGGGAATGTTGGGAATATGGGAATGTTGGGAGTGGGAGCCATGGGATCCACTGAGTTCTCATTATCCCTGGACTCCTGGGATAACAGGAATATGGGAATGTTGGGAATATGGGAATGTTGGGATTGGGGGCCATGGGATCCCACTGAGTCCTGGGATGGGCAATGTTGTTGGGAATATTGGGAATGTTGGGAACGGGAACTGCGGAATCCCACGCAGGGATCCCCGCAGTGCTCGTTGTGCCCAAACTCCGGTGGGACACGGGATGGATCCGCCTGGGACCCGTTGTCCTGGGATTTATCCCGTTGTCCCGGAGCCCCACAGGGATGCAGCACCCGGGGGTCCCCGAACGCTCATCCCGGGACACCGCTCCATGCCCCGGACATCCCCCATTGCTCGCACATCCCCGTTCCCCGGACATCCCCCGCTCCCCTCACGCTTCCCGCCTCCCGCCGCCCCGCTCGGAGCGCCGGGCCCGCTCCCGCCGCGCCCCCGCCGCGCCCCCCGGGGCCGGGCTCGCCTCGTTGAAGCCGCCGTAGGTGGTCTGGTAGAACTCGTCCTCCTCCTCGGCCTGCAGCAGCCCCGAGAGGCGATTGCCGGCCGTGCGCCGCGGGGCGCGGCCCTCCGCCAGGCTCATCTCGGCGCTCCGCCCGCCCGCCTGCCGCCGCCGCGCGGCCCGGCACGGCGAGCGCCGAGCGATCGATGGGCGGGGACGGACACAGCGACACCGCGCGGGGAGAGGGGGAACTGCGGGCGACGTCATCGCGATCGGGATGACGTCAGTGCCTTTGAGGTAACGGCATTGTGTTTGGGGTTACGTCATTGTGTTTGGGGTGACGGCATTGCGATTGAGGTGACGTCATTATGTGAGTGAAGTCACGGGGGACTTTTGGCGGTGTTTTGGGGGGGATTTTTGGTTTGGGTGAAATAACCGGGATTTTGGGAAAAACAAATGGGGTTATTTAGGGGAAAAAATTGGGATTTTATAGCCAAAAATGGGGATTTTTAGGGGATTTTCTGGGGTTTTTTTGGAGAGGTTGCCAGTGTGTGGGGTGACGTCATGGGGTGGGTGTGACAGCTGTGACTTCATGTGATGGAGTGTGGGCACTCTGTGACATCACGGGATGTCAGGGCAGGGTTGTGGCTCTGTGACGTCATAGGGTAGGCACATCGATGCATAAGTAAGCAGTGTGACATCACAGGATCGACATGCGTGTGTGTGTGTGTGTGCTCTGTGACATCACAGGATGAGGATGCATGTGCTCCCATGACGTCACTGATTCGGAGTGCATGAGGGTGACGTCATTTAATGTTGTGCTCAATGAGCTCAGTGTGACGTCACTCCGCCCCACCCTCCGCCCGTCACGTGACGCCGCTGGGCCCAATACGAGCCGGGGAAGGCGGAACCGCTGTCGGGGCCGCGCATGCGCCGTGCGGGCCCGCCCGCGTGGCCCCCGCTGCCCCCATCGCCCACGGCCGCGTGGGGCGCGCCGGGAGGGGCGGGGCTGAGCGCGGGAAGGGCGTGGTCTGGCACAGAATGGGGCGTGGCCACGCGCGATTGGTGACGCTCAGCATGGAGGGGGCGGAGTGGAATGTGAAGAGGCGTGGCTTAGCCGCGAGGGGGGTGGAGCCGCACATAAAAAGGCGGGGCTGAACCGCGGGTGGGCGTGTCTTTGCCCGCATAGGCAGCGTCAGTACGCGGAGTGGGCGTGGTTTGTCTCGAAAGGGGCGTGGCCGTGTGGGCGGGGGCGTGGCCGGGCGTGGCGGGCGGGGGGCGGGCTGAGGGTGGGGGGGCGCAGCGCGCGCTCCAAGATGGCGGCGGCGGCGGCGGGGCCCGAGTCCGGCGGCAGCAGCGGCAGCAGCGGCGGCCTCGGCGGTACCGGCCGGGAACGGCCCGGGGGGCGCGGCTGGGGGCGAGGGAAGGGCCGGGGGGGGCTGAGGGCGTGAGGGGCTGAGGGGGGAATGGGGGCGTGAGGGGAATGGGAGGATCCGGGGGGGATTTGGGGGGTTATGAGGGGGATTTGGGGGTTATGAGGGGGATTCGGGACTTATGAGGAGGATTATAGGGGTTATGAGGGGGATCTTGGGGATTATGAGTGGGGTTCGGGGGGTTATGAGGAGGATTGTAGGGGTTATGAGGGGGATTTGGGGGATATGAGGAGGATTATAGGGGTTATGAAGGGTCTGGGGGCGTGAGGGGGCAGCGTGAGGGTGAGGGGGCTCTGGGGCGTGAGGGGAATGGGGCGATCTTGGGGGGATCTAGGGGCTTATTTGGGGGTTATTAGGGGGATTTAGGGGGTTATGAGAGAGATGATGGGGGTTATGAGGGGGATCTGGGGGGTTATGAGAGGAATTATGGGGCTGTGAGGGGGATTTGGTGATTATAAGGGGGATTTGGGGGGTTATGCGGGGTCTGGGGGCGTGAGGGGGCTCTGAGGGGTTTTTTGGGGGGTCTTTGGGGGTTTTGGATGAGTTTAGGACTGGGAGACTCAGGGGTTTGGAAGGTTTTTTTGGGGTATAGAACTTTAGGGATGATGGGGATTTTTGGGGTCTTTTTTGGGGGGTGTAGAACTCTGGGGCTGAGTGGGGGTTTTGGGGTCTTTATGGGGTATTTTGGAGGGGTGTGGGACTCTTTTGGGGAGGGGATTTTGGGCTTTCTGGGGGAGTTTTGGGGCACTTGGAGCTTCCCGGGGGTGTCTGAGGTGCCATGGGGGGAGCCCAGCCCCAACTTTTCCCTGGAAAAACCGAGTTCCGAGTTTTCCTTTTTCTACAAAACACCTGGGAGCGCACGGGGGGGACCCGAGAGGCCCCAAAACTCCCAAAAATAAAAAATAAAGAAGGTGGGGAACGGGGCGGGGAGGGAGCAGCGTGTCGGTGCCAGGGAAATCCGATTCCCGTTCCCGTGCGGTGACTCACGGGGGTGGGACCGGCTCGCGGGATCCCAAAATCACAGAAAAATCCCAAAAAAACACAGAAAAATCCCAGAAAAACCCCAGAAAAATCACAAAATAATCACAAAATGAGCCCGGGATCGGGCAGCAAAGCCTCCCAAAATCCAAGAAAAATCCCAGAGCAGCAAAGCCCCGGGATTTGTTTGGACCAGCGGGAACGGGAGCCGGGGAAAGGGCTGGAAAATCGGGAATTGCCATCTCTGACACTTTTTTGGGGAGAAAACCAGCGATTTCGGGGCTTTTAGCACCGGGATTTTTCATTTTCCTGGCTTTTCCTGAAGCTGGCAGGATTGCTGGGAGAATTCAGCTCTTTATCCCGCTTTTTTCAGCTCCAAATTGACTTTTCCACCTTAAATTTTGGGTTTTTATCCATAAAAATTCCAGTTGGGAAGGAGCTCCTTGGTCCTTGCTTTTCCCTGAAAGGGTTTGAGGCCTGATCCCTGATTTTCTGACTCTTTATCCGTGGGACTTTTTTGGAATTTGGGGCCAGAAACCCCAGGAGAGCAGCGTGTGTGGGTGGGATAATTCAGCTTTTGTGTTTTGTAGGATTTTGCCCTGTTTTTGTGGGATTTTTCCTGTTTTTCTGGGGTCTTCCATTGCTTTTGTGGGATTGATTCTTTCTGAGTGTGGATTTTCCTTTTTCTGGCAGGATCCAACACCTTCAAAAAGTCCCTGACTCCTGAGGTGAGTTCTAGGCTGGAAAAATCCCAAATTTCAGATTTTCCTGCCAAAGTTTCTCAGGTGGTTTTGGGTGGGAAAAACGCTGTAAAAAGTCGAATTTTCCAATTTTTTCTCTCTTTTCCCGTTTTTTCTCTTTTCCCAAGATGCCGGGAGGATCCCAGACCATCCGGAAAGGCCACAGAGGAGTGGATTCCACGGGGGAAACCACCTACAAAAAGGTGAATTCCCACTTTTTTTCCCTTTTCCCGAGGAGTTTTGCCCGGGATCGCTGTGGGAATGGGAGGAGGTTCCATGGAAATGAAGGAAAAAGGGAATTTTTGGGTTTATTTTCCCCATTTTAATTGTCATGCAATCCCTGTTCCTGCTGAATTTCTATTCCCGTTGAATTTCTCTCATTCCCACTGAATTCTTGCAATTCCTATTTCTGTTGAATTCCATCTGTTCCCATTGAATCTCTCCCATTCCAATTGGATTTTTGTTCCCATTCCCACTGAGTTCCCACTCCCATTGAATTCTCACTCCCATTGAACTCCCATTGCCTTTTCCACCAAATCCCTCCCATTCCCTCTGCGCTCCAGCCATTCCCAGCCCCATTCCCACTGTAATTCCCATCTCCATTCCCATTCCCACTGTAATTCCCATTCCCATTGCCATTCCCATTGTAATTCCCAGCCCCATTCCCATTCCCACTGTAATTCCCATTCCCATTCCAGCTGTAATTCCCACCCCATTCCCTCTGTACCCACCCTGTTTCCCCGTTCCCAGCTGTAATTCCTGTTCCCATTCCCAGCTGTAATTCCCATTCCTGTTGTCACTGTAATTCCCACTCCCATTCCCAGGTGCAATTCCCTTTCCCACTGTAATTCCCATTCCTGCTGTAATTCCTGTTGCCGTTACCTCTGTAATTCCCATTCCCGTTCCCATTCCCCCATTCCCATCCCCTCTGGAACCCCCATTTCCCCTATTCCCCCGCTCCCTGTTCCCATTCCCGCTGTAACCCCCGTTCCCATTCCAGCTGTAATTCCCGTTCCCGTCCCCACTCTAACCCCGTTCCCCCGTTCCCATCCCCGCTGTAACCCCGTTTTCCCCGTTCCCCCCCGTTTCCCCAGACGACGTCGTCGGCGCTGAAGGGCGCCATCCAGCTGGGCATCACGCACACCGTGGGCAGCCTGAGCACCAAGCCCGAGCGCGACGTGCTCATGCAGGACTTCTACGTCGTGGAGAGCATCTTCTTCCCCAGGTCGGCACCCAGAGGGGTTCGGGGACCCCCCGTTCCCCGTGGGACCCCCCGTTCCGTGTGGGATACCCCGTTCCCCGTGGGATCCCCCAATCCCTGTGGTGGGACCCCCCAATCAATCCCATTCTGGAACGTTCCCCGTGGGATCCCCCCGTTCCCCGTGGGACCCCCCAGTCAATCCCATTCCGGAACGTTCCGTGTCCCCCCCCCCCGCAGCGAGGGCAGCAACCTGACGCCTGCCCACCACTACAATGATTTCCGCTTCAAGACCTACGCGCCCGTGGCCTTCCGCTACTTCCGGGAGCTCTTCGGCATCCGCCCCGACGACTACCTGGTCAGCTGGGAACGGGACCCCTGGGCCTTTTCCTTCCCTTTTGTCTTCCCTGGAATTGCCTGGAATTCCTTTCCCCTTTCCCTTTTCTCTTTTCCCTTTTCCTTCCCTGGAATTCCCTGGAATTACCTTTTCCCTGTTTCCTTTTTTCCCCTTCCCTTTCTTCTTCCTGTTCCCTTTTTCCCCCCCCTTTCCTTTTTTTTTCCACTTTCTATTTTTCTTCCCATTCCCTTTTTTTTCCTTTCTTTTTTTTTCCCCCCTTTCCTTTTCTTTTTCTGCTTTCTCCTTTCTCCTTTTCTCCTTTCTCCTTTCTGTCTTTCGTTTCTATTTCCCTTCCCTTTCTCTTCCCTTTCCTTCTCAGTTTTTTTCTTTTCTATTCCCTTCTTCTTTTCTCTTCCCTTCTTCTTTTCTCTTCCTGTTGCCCCTGTTTTTTCCCCCTTTCCCCCCTTTTTTGCCATTTTTCTCCCTTCATATTTTAGGATTCCTTTCCCCCTTTTCCTCCCCACATTTCCCCTCGTGCTGCCACCCAAACCACTCCTGGCTGCCCTTCCCTGCTCGTTTTGAGCAGGAAAACCCCAATCCCTCTGCTATTCCCAGAAAAACCTCAATCCCAGATTCCCCAATCCCACTGTGTCCCCCCACAGTACTCGCTGTGCAGCGAGCCCCTGATCGAGCTCTCCAACTCGGGCGCCAGCGGCTCGCTGTTCCCATTCCAATCCCAATGCCCAATCCCCAATATTCCCATTCCAATCCCAATGCCCAATCCCCAGTATTCCCATTCCAATCCCAATCCCCAATCCCCAATATTCCCATTCCAATCCCAATGCCCAATCCCCAATATTCCCATTCCAATCCCAATCCCCAATCCCCAATATTCCCATTCCAATCCCAATGCCCAATATTCCCATTCCAATCCCAATGCCCAATCCCCAATATTCCCATTCCAATCCCAATCCCCAATCCCCAATATTCCCATTCCAATCCCAATCCCCAATCCCCAATATTCCCATTCCAATCCCAATGCCCAATCCCCAATATTCCCATTCCAATCCCAATGCCTTGTTTTCCCCACAGTACTCGCTGTGCAGCGAGCCCCTGATCGAGCTCTCCAACTCGGGCGCCAGCGGCTCGCTGTTCCCATTCCAATCCCAATGCCCAATCCCCAATATTCCCATTCCAATCCCAATGCCCAATCCCCAATATTCCCATTCCAATCTCAATGCCCAATCCCCAGTATTCCCATTCCAATCCCAATGCCCAATCCCCAATATTCCCATTCCAATGCCCAATCCCCAATCCCCAATATTCCCATTCCAATCCCAATCCCCAATATTCCCATTCCAATCCCAATGCCCAATCCCCAATATTCCCATTCCAATCCCAATGCCCAATCCCCAATATTCCCATTCCAATGCCCAATCCCCAATCCCCAATATTCCCATTCCAATCCCAATGCCCAATCCCCAATATTCCCATTCCAATCTCAATGCCCAATCCCCAGTATTCCCATTCCAATCCCAATGCCCAATCCCCAATATTCCCATTCCAATGCCCAATCCCCAATCCCCAATATTCCCATCCCAATGCCCAATCCCCAATATTCCCATTCCAATCCCAATGCCCAATCCCCAATATTCCCATTCCAATCCCAATGCCCAATCCCCAATATTCCCATTCCAATCCCAATGCCCAATCCCCAATATTCCCATTCCAATCCCAATCCCCAATCCCCAATATTCCCATTCCAATCCCAATCCCCAATATTCCCATTCCAATCCCAATCCCCAATCCCCAATATTCCCATTCCAATCCCAATGCCCAATATTCCCATTCCAATCCCAATGCCCAATCCCCAATATTCCCATTCCAATCCCAATCCCCAATCCCCAATATTCCCATTCCAATCCCAATCCCCAATCCCCAATATTCCCATTCCAATCCCAATGCCCAATATTCCCATTCCAATCCCAATCCCCAATCCCCTATATTCCCATTCCAATCCCAATGCCCAATCCCCAATATTCCCATTCCAATCCCAATGCCCAATCCCCAGTATTCCCATTCCAATCCCAATGCCCAATCCCCAATATTCCCATTCCAATCCCAATGCCTTGTTTTCCCCACAGTACTCGCTGTGCAGCGAGCCCCTGATCGAGCTCTCCAACTCGGGCGCCAGCGGCTCGCTGTTCTACGTCAGCAGCGACGACGAGTTCATCATCAAAACCGTGCAGCACAAGGAGGCCGAGTTCCTGCAGAAGCTGCTGCCCGGATACTACATGGTGAGAGAGCCGGGAATTCCGGGAATTCCCTGGGAATTCATCCCAGATACTGCATGGTGAGAGTTCCCTGGGAATTCCCTGGGAATTCCTGCCCAGGTACTGCATGGTGGGAGTTCCCTGGGAATCCCTGGGAATTCCAGCCCTGGGAAATCCTAGCATAGTGCCTGGATCATTGGAGACAGCGGGGCTGGGCTCGCATCCCCCGGGCTTGAGCCCCTTCCAAACCCTGAACGCCCAAAATCCACGGAAAACCCCAGCAATTCGTACAAAGCCCTCCAAACCTGAGCGATCTGGATGCTCTCGCCACGTTTTAGCTGCGATTTTGACACATCCCCAACCCCAAAAGCCCAAAGATCCATGGAAACCCCAACAATCCATAGAACACCCCCAAACCAGAGGGGTCTGGATGCTCTTCCCACGTTTTGTCTGCAATTTTGACACATCCTAACCCCAAAACCCCCCCATAACGTCCCCCAAACCCCTGTGCCTCTGCCGCCCCCTCCCCATTTCCCTCCTGTGCAGAACCTGAAGCAGAACCCGTGCACGCTGCTGCCCGAGTTCTGCGGGCGGTACTGCCAAAAACCCCCCAAAAAACCCCCCAAAAAAACCCCCCAAAACCAGTCTAAAACCCCCCAAACCCCTGTGCCTCTGCAGCTCACTGCCCATTTCTCTCCCCACCTCCAGAACCTGAACCAGAACCCGCGCACGCTGCTGCCCAAGTTCTACGGGCTGTACTGCGTGCAGGCGGGCGGCAAGAACATCCGCATCGTGGTGATGAACAACCTGCTGCCGCGCTCCGTGCGCATGCACCTCAAGTACGACCTCAAGGGCTCCACCTACAAGCGCCGCGCCTCGCCCAAGGAGCGCGACAAGGCCTTCCCCACCTTCAAGGACCTGGACTTCATGCAGGACCTGCCCGACGGGCTCTTCCTGGACGCCGACATGTACAACGCGCTCTGCAAGACGCTGCAGAGGGACTGCCTGGTCAGACGCGGCGGGATCGGGCCGGGATGGGGTTTTTTGGGGGGGAATTGGGGGTGTTCTGCATTTTTTCCTGTTTTTTTTTGGGAAATCAGGGGTGTTCTGCACTTTCTCCTGGTTTTTGGGGAGAATCGGGGGTGTTCTGCATTTTTTCCTGGTTCTTTTTTGGAAATCAGGAGCGGTTTTGCATTTTTTCCTGGTTTTGGGGGAGAATCGGGGGTGTTCTGCATTTTTCCAGGTTTTTTAGGGAAATCAGAGGTGTTCTGTCTTTTTCCTGGTTTGTTTGAGGAATATCTAGGGTGCTTTGCGTTTTCTCTCGGTTTTGAGAAAATCACAGGTGTTCTGCATTTTTTCCGGGTTTTTTTTTTTTTTTTTGTTTTGGGAAATTGGGGGTGGTCTACCTTTTTTCCTGATTTTTTCTGGGGAAAATCAGGGGTGTTCTGCCTTTTTTTACTGGGTTTTTGGAGGAAAATTGGGGGTGTTCTGCTTTTTTTCCTGGTTTTTGGGGAAAATCGAAGGTGCTCTGCCTTTTCTCTTGGTTTCAGGGGAGTCAGAAGTGTTCTGTGCTTTTTCCCGGTTTTTTGGGTAAATTCATGGTGTTCTGTCTTTTCTCCTGGTTTTGGGGGAAAATTGGGGGTGTTCTGGGGTTTTTCCTGATTTTTGGGGGAAAATCCAGGGTCCTCTGCCTCTTCTCTTGGTTTTTGTGGGGAATCAGGGTTGTTCAACCCTTTCTCCATATTTCTGGCATTTTTCTCATGGAAGACTTGTGCTTGTTCCACCCTTTTCCCTGTTTCTGTGGGTTTCTAATGGAGCATTTTTCCGGAAGATCCCGACCTGTGATCCAGCCCTGTTTTTGCCCATTCCCAATTGGAAAAGCCCCCGTTCCATCCCCAAATTCCCCATTTCCCGTTTGCAGGTGCTGCAGAGTTTCAAGATCATGGATTACAGCCTGCTGGTGGCCATCCACAGCCTGGACCAGGCGCAGCGCGAGCGCGCGGCCGCCGGAGCGCCCCGGGACGGGGACGGGGACCGGGACCCCCGCGGGCGGCCGGCGGCGCAGAGAGCGCTCTACTCCACGGCCATGGAGTCCATCCAGGGCGAGGCGCGGCGGGGAGGCACCATGGAGACCGATGATCAGTGAGATTGATTGGTTATTGATTATTGATTGGTTATTGATTGGGGTTAACGGGGACCGGGACCCCCGCGGCGCAGAGAGCGCTCTACTCCACGGCCATGGAGTCCATCCAGGGCGAGGCGCGGCGGGGAGGCACCATGGAGACCGATGATCAGTGAGATTGATTGGTTATTGATTATTGATTGGTTATTGATTGGGGTTAACGGGGACCGGGACCCCCGCGGCGCAGAGAGCGCTCTACTCCACGGCCATGGAGTCCATCCAGGGCGAGGCGCGGCGGGGAGGCACCATGGAGACCGATGATCAGTGAGATTGATTGGTTATTGATTATTGATTGGTTATTGATTGGGGTTAACGGGGACCGGGACCCCCGCGGCGCAGAGAGCGCTCTACTCCACGGCCATGGAGTCCATCCAGGGCGAGGCGCGGCGGGGAGGCACCATGGAGACCGATGATCAGTGAGATTGATTGGTTATTGATTATTGATTGGTTATTGATTGGGGTTAACGGGGACCGGGACCCCCGCGGCGCAGAGAGCGCTCTACTCCACGGCCATGGAGTCCATCCAGGGCGAGGCACGGCGAGGGGGCACCATGGAGACCGATGATCAGTGAGATTGATTGGTTATTGATTATTGATTGGTTATTGATTGGGGTTAACGGGGACCGGGACCCCCGCGGCGCAGAGAGCGCTCTACTCCACGGCCATGGAGTCCATCCAGGGCGAGGCGCGGCGGGGAGGCACCATGGAGACCGATGATCAGTGAGATTGATTGGTTATTGATTATTGATTGGTTATTGATTGGGGTTAACGGGGACCGGGACCCCCACGGCGCAGAGAGCGCTCTACTCCACGGCCATGGAGTCCATCCAGGGCGAGGCGCGGCGGGGAGGCACCATGGAGACCGATGATCAGTGAGATTGATTGGTTATTGATTATTGATTGGTTATTGATTGGGGTTAACGGGGACCGGGACCCCCGCGGCGCAGAGCGCTCTACTCCACGGCCATGGAGTCCATCCAGGGCGAGGCACGGCGAGGGGGCACCATGGAGACCGATGATCAGTGAGATTGATTGGTTATTGATTGATTGGGAGTCGCTGGGATTGACTGGGAATTTCTGGGGTTTGCTGGGATCCGTTCCTTGATCCCCATTCCCCATTCCCATTCCCCATTCCCCATTCCCATTCCCCGTTCCCATTCCTGACCCCATTCCCATTCCCCATTCTCATTCCCCTTTCCCAGGATGGGCGGAATTCCCGCCCGGAATTCCCGGGGGGAGCGGCTGCTGCTCTACATCGGCATCATCGACGTCCTGCAGTCCTATAGGTCAGTCAGTCATTATTAATTAATTACCCGGTAATTAAACCCACGTTTCCTCAGCCTTGGGATGCCCCCGAGACCGAGAGTTTCCACCGTGGGCTTCAAACCCCGGGAATTTCTGGGAATTTCTGGGAATTCCTGCTCCATTCCCTCCCCGCAGGTTCGTGAAGAAGCTCGAGCACTCCTGGAAGGCGCTGGTGCACGACGGGGTGAGTGGGAAATGGGAATTTTCTGTGGAAAAATGGGAATTTTTATGGAAAAACAGGAATTTTTATGAAAAAACTGGAATTTTTATGAAAAAAGGGGATTTTTAATGGGAAAAATGGGGATTTTTGTGGAAAAGCAGAACTTTTTGAAAGGAAAACGGCCTTTTTAAGGAAAAATGACCCTTTCTTAGGGAAAACCCCCAATTTTTAAGGAAAACTCCCAATTTCTATGGAAAATCCCCAGCTTTTAAGGGAGCTCCCAAAAATTTGAGATTTTCCACCCCCTTGAATTCCTGAAATTTCCCCCCCCGAATTCCTGAGATTTCCACCTGAATTCCTGGGATTTACTCCCAAAATCCTGGGATTTTCACCCGAAATTCTGGAATTTCCACCCGAATTCTTGGGATTTATTCCCAAAATCCTGGAATTTCCACCCGAATCCCTGGGATTTATTCCCAAATCCCTGTAATCCCCCCCCGAGCCCCCCGGGGCTCCCCATCCCGCCCGGAATTCCGGGATTTTGGGGCTCACTCCCGTTTCTCCCGGGCTCCAGGACACGGTGTCCGTGCACCGGCCCAGCTTCTACGCCGAGCGCTTCCAACGCTTCATGTGCCACACGGTGTTCCACAGGATCCCACGTGAGTGCCCGCGAAATTCCCGCTTTTCCCTCTGCAATTCCCACATCTCAGCCCCACTCCTCGTTTTTCCCTTTTTTCCCCCTTTTTCCCCTTTTTTCCCCCCTTTTGGCCCCCTTTTTTCCCCCCTTTCCCCGCCTTTTTTCCCCCTTTTTTCCCAGACTTTTCCAGCTTTTTCCTGGGTTTTCTTCAGCTTTTCTCCTTCTCTGTCCCCTAAAAAAGCTGGAAAAGTAATTTTTTAATGGTTTTTTTCCCCCTTTTCCGGGTTTTCCTGCTTTTTTCCTATTTTTTCCAGCTTGTTTTTTCTTTCCTTGACATAAAAATTCCCTGGAAAAGTTGAAAAAGCGCTTTTCTTTTTTTTTAGGGCTTTTTCCCCCCCTTTTCCAACCTTTTCCTTCTCGCACTCCTCTTTCCCTAAAATCCTGCCTGAAACCCGCTTTATTCTCCCTGGAAATTGCTTTCCTCGAGGATTTCCCCTTTTCCTCCTCCTCCTCCCCTCCTCCCTGCCCCAAACCCCCTGGAATTTCGGGATATTCCCAATTTTTCATGGAATTTTCCCCGTTTCCCAGTGAAGCCGTCCCCGTCCAAGAAGAGCCGCGGCGGCGCCGCCGCGCCCAGGAGGAGCTGCCAGGGGGGGACCCCGGCCCCGAACCCCAACCCGAACCCGGCCGGGGGCGACGCCAGGGCCCCCCCGGGCCCCGACATGGACCCCGAGCAAGGTGGGAGCCGGGAGCTCTGTCCCAAAAATCCCCGTTTGTGTCCCAAAAATCTCCATTTGTGTCCCAAAAATCTCCGTTTGTGTCCCAAAAAATCCCCGTTTGTGTCCCAAAATATCCCCGT